ACACAGGTAACTTTTATCAAAAACCATTACAATATTCAAATGCGAACTTAAACAAAGCTGTAAGTTCGGCTGGGCCAAACTTTGAATACCCTCCACCATTTAGAACGAATTTGGCAATTCTCAAAAACAATAAAATTCGTAAAAAACTTCTGTTAAAATCTTAAAAATACCGAATGAAGCTATTATATTAGGGTCTATACGACGACATGAATCTGCGTAGGTAACATTTGTCATAAGCCATTAATATATTCAAATGCGAAACTTAAAAAAAAATCGGTTATAATGTCGATAAAATCAAAATACCGAATATCGGGAGGTAACGTTATATGGGTGCTTTACGAAGAGGTGAACCTGCACAGACAGGTTCAGGTGTCTTAGGCTGTAGTATCCATTACGAACTTTAAATACCAAATTTGAAACAATTCCGCTGAATAAATTCGCTAAAATCATCAAACTACCGAATATCGGGAGGCAACGTTATATGGAGGCTTTACGAAGAGGTGGACCTGCACAGACAATTTTCTGTCTTAGGCTGTACCCTAGTACCCATTACGAACTTTAAATACCAAATTTGAAACAATTCCGGTGAATAAACTCGCTAAAATCATCAAAAAACCGAATATCGGGAGGTACCGTTATATGGGGGCTCTACGAAGATGTGGACCTGCATAGACAATTTTCTGTCTTAGGCTGTACCCTAGTACCCATTACGAACTTTAAATACCAAATTTGAAACAATTCCGTTGAAGAAATTCGCTAAAATAATCAAAATACCAAATATCGGGAGGTACAGTTATATGGGGGCTATACAAAAACGTGGACCTACATGGACCATTTTCAATACCGAAAGTCCTGCAGACATAACATACATTTGAGCAAAATTTTATCAATCTACCTCAATTCGTTCGGAAGCTAGACTGATTTCCACAGACGGACGGACGGGCAGACGGACGGACATCGCTAAATCGCGTAGAATTTTATGCTGATCAAGAATATATATACCTTGTGAGGTCTAAAATTTGTATTTCGAGGTGTTACAAACGGAATGACAAAATTAGTATACCCTCCATACTATGGTGGAGGGTATAAAATTATGACCCTTTGTGGGTGAGGAGTTCGCAGATATATATCATCTTCACAACTTTATTGTTCGCTTTATTTGATTGTTTTGTTCTTCAAAATCGTGAACCCTATGTGGGGCAGGTAGCAAAAGAGATGGTCCGATTTCTACCATCTTTATTATAGATCTTGTGTTGATGGAAATATTTAGATGTATCAAGTCTGGAATGGAATCGGATGTTAATTTCGCTTTTTACGTTCTTCATATATATTCACAATCTTCGTGGGAAAGGTACCAGAAGGAGTGTACCGATATATCCCATCTTCACAAAATATCTTTTGTTAGTAGAAATAATGGGATGCGTGAAATATGCTTATTTCGCATTTTATGACGTTCATGGATATTCCAAATCGACCTTTTGTGGGGGAGGTACCAGAAGGAATGGTCCGATCTCTACTGTTTTTATAACAGATCCTATGTTTATGAAAATATTCAGATGTTCCAAATCTAAATGGAATCGGATTTTAATTGTACGTTTTATGAGCTTCATGGTTATTCAAAATGTTGACCCTTTGTGGGGGAGTTAACACAAGGAGTGGTCCGATATATATCATATTCACAGCAGATCTTGTGTTAGAAGAAATAATGGGATGTGTGAAATATAAAGATAATCTAATGCTTATTTCGGATCTTATAATCGTTTTGGTTATTCAATACTTTGCCCCTTTGTATGAGAGGTACCAGAAGAAATGGTCCGATCTCTATCGTTTTTATAAAAAATCCTGCGTCTATGGAAATATTCAGATGTGCCAAATCTAAATGGAATCGGATGTTTATTTCGTGTTTTATGAGCTTAATGGATATTCAAAATTTCGACCTTTTGTGGGGCAGGTACCAGAAGGAGTAGACAGATATACTCCATCTTAACACCAGAACTTGGGTTAATAAAAATATTGCGATGAGAGAAATTTTGAGGCAATCGGATTCTTACATCACATTTTATAAGAGTTGTAATTATTCAACATTTTGACCCTTTGTGGGGGCGGCACTTGAAGGAGTGAATCGATATTGTCCATTTTCGCACCCGAGATAGAACTGACGCAAAAATCAGAATTTGCAAGGCTGGAGCAAAATCGGATTATCCTTTCTCTTTCTGGGCAGTAAGGTTTTGTTTTTGAAAATTTCGACCTTTTGTGGGGGTGGTACCAGGAGGAGTGGACCGATATTGCCCATCCCCGAATTCGATCTAATTTTGGTAATAATATTACGATATACCAAGTTTGAACCAAATTGGATACTCCCTTCGAGAGTTATCGTACGAAAGACAGACAGACAGACGGACGGACTGGTGGACATTCTACTCCACTCCAAATATCCTGAAGCGGATTTGGCCCAAAAAGACCTAGGGTTCAGAACTGTTCTTTTGATGACGCACGTTTTGGCCGTATCAAATGATATATACCACCTCTAACCATATGGCTGAGAGTATGAAACTATGTTTTTTGAGGTCTGAACAGGAGATCATTTCAAAATCAATCAAAAATCCAAAAATTTTGGCCTTCGTACGTTTCCTTAAAGAAATCAACTTTTGATCATGAAGTCCTTTTGAAAAATCTACTATTTTTGATATATAATCCTTGCAGAAAATTTCCCAAACAAAAGTGACGATTTTGGTTTTTGAAAAATCTTTAACTTGAATTTTTAAATTTCGGAAATTTTGCTAGAAGGTCCTTTGGAAAATCCCATTTCATTTCTTCAAGAAATGTAATGATCTTTAGTTTAGAATTTCAAAAATTAAATCTTTTTAAACCCCTCCGTTCATTAATGGCCCTCGTGGACAATTATTTACTTTTTAGCAGATAATCTTAAAAAAATCCACTAGTTTTGTCCTTAGTGCATTCCCTTAATGAAATTCCGGCTAGTTCACCAGAAGGTCCTTTTTGGAAAAAATCCACTATTTTTCTTATATGATCCTTGAAGAAATACTCCTAAAAAATCCACGATTTTTGGCTAGAAGGACCTGAAAAATCATACAGGGTTGTCCATATTCGACGGACCCATCTGGCAACGCCATAACTTTTGACAGAGATGTCACATCGCTTAATGACATACCGCGTTTGAAGCGTCAGTCCAAGCAGATTTTTACCATGAACCAATACACGCCACGCGAGCGTTCTGAAATAGAACCATTAAGCGTTAATACGAAAATTTTTCGACTGGTAAGGCTCTTTCTAATCCGAAGAGGCCATATAAAAGTCGAGCAAGGCGATCGGCCGAGAATATCGCTGCCGTACGAGCCAGTGTTGAGAGGTCCCCAAGAACATCCCAAAAACGCCGTTCTCAGCAGTTGGGCATGGCTCGGTCCACTTTACATCGGATTATTCGCATTGATTTGCATTTGTTCCCGTACAAAATTCAATTGACGCAAAGAATGTTGCCTGCGGACAAGCCTCGTCGATTGGAATGGGCCCAAAGAGTCATCAAAATGGCCGAAGATGACGAGCAATTTTGGAACAAAATTATCATGTCCGATGAAGCCCATTTCACATTGAATGGGACCGTAAATAAGCAAGCATTTTTACGCCACTGAAAATCCTCAGGGGATTCAAGAAGTGCCTCTTCATGATGAAAAAGTCACAGTTTGGTGCGGCGTTAGTGCGAAAACGGTCATTGGGTCGTTTTTCTTCCAAAATGAAAATGGCCATGCTGTTAAAATCAATCAGGAGCGTTATCGCGACATGATGACCAATATTGTGATGCCAATTATTCGTCGAAAACGTATGAGGCAGTTCTGCTTTCAACAAGACGGAGCTCCACCGCACACAAGTCGCATAACAATCGATTTTCTGAAGAATTTTTTTCCGGGCCGTTTGATATCGAAAAGTGGTGATTTGGACTGGCCACCGCGTTCGCCCGATTTGACGCCGCCTGACTTCTTCTTGTGGAGATATTGAAGTCAAAGGTTTACGTTAACAAGCCAAGGACCCTAGAAGAGCTCAAGGACAACATTCGTGAAGAAATAGCCGCTATTCCGGCCGAAATGTTGGCAAAAACGATGGAAAATGCAGCAAAAAGGACACAATACGTCATCAACGCCAGAGGCGGCCATTTGAGATATCTCATATTCAAAAATTGATGTAAACAAATCTACTTGGAACAAATTAAAAGATTAACATTGCCAACCGCCAAATTTTTATTTTTTTCTTTGATTTTTAAAAAAAAAAACATGGGTCCGTCGAATATGGGCAACCCTGTATTATCTATCTCTAATGCTTAATATTTTCTATTTCGAAAATTTGGAAAGAAGTTCCTTAGAAAAGTCTCTTCAATAACTCCGATACTTTTAAATACTTTCGTAGCTCGAATTTCAAAATATCAATTCTCATCAAAAATGTGTCTAGTGGAAAATTTTGCGATATATCGTGGTATGATATTTTCAAAATCTATAAATTTCCTGCATTTTCCATACCACCCCTCGTAAACATTGCTCACATTTTGCCATATTATGACGGCACTTAGTTTATTACAATTTACCTGTTTTGTGCTAAAACGTCCATCCCTACTCTGGCTTGATTACAACTTAAACCCTATACGTTCCCCTCCCTGCCCCCAGCCGGCTCCACCCGGTGTCGGTGATGTACTTCGCTGTGTTCAGAGAAGCGTTAAGAAGTAACAACGACGGCAATGGCAATGCATTAACACTTTGCAATGAAATATACATGAACACCCTGAATGTAAATAGACGTAAATTCCATATGTTCGAATGGCTGTTTGTCGGTATGTCAGACCATCTATCCATGGCTACAGCTAGCCATTTATACTCAACACAAATCTACGTATGTAGATAGGTATATCACTCTGTCATTCATACAACCAAGAGCCATCACATAGTCTATCTGTTTTGTTCGCCTGTCCGTCTGTCGGTCTGTCTTTTCAATTGCATTTAACATTTTGCATTCAAACAGATACCAGAATCAGCAGCAGCATCATCAGCATCTGCATCCACATTCATGCATTCATATGGCCAACTTACATTTACGAAAGTTCGCCCCAAACCGCAGATATAGACGAGAACTCCGTGATATCGGTTGCAACTAAAATGTCAATCAGTTAAAATAAATCACAAACTCGCCAACAATTGTCGGACGCTCGCATTGCCACTTCGCTCGCTCCTCGTGTTCAGTGTCTCCTCTTCTTCACGCCAACAAAGGCAAATTGCCAATTGACGACGATAATATAGCCGGGCTACAATCGGGTAAATACTCTACTCTACTCTACTCTACTGGCTGCATAATTCGAGTATTTGACGATGGCATTCGCTTAAAGTGAAATGTAATTGAAATGACAATTCGCAAAGAGCAAAAGAAAAAGAAAAGAAGAAACGAAAAAAAATGATATAATGTGCTGGAATTTTAACGGGATATTCAAAAAAATAAAAAAAAAATCGAGTGAAAGAAAAATTTAAATTCAATTGCAAGCGAGTCCTTGCATAGTCTTACACCATTTCCTAAGCGAGAGAAAATTATTGATTTTTATTTCACGACGTTTTTTATGAATGCTGAAAGAAAAACAAATTTTTGAAATATTTAAAAAAAATTGAAAAATTTTAGTTTTAAAATTTTTTCGAAATTTTTTAAATTTTAAATTTTTAAATTAAAAAAAAAACATTTTTTGAATAAAAACATCAATATTTTTGAAAACATAAATTGAAAATAATTTGACATATATAAAACAAGCCCAAAGGAATTAAGTGAACTAAAATACGGTAAATTCGGCCGGACCGAAAGTTCGATACCCCCACCATGAGGGAATGGAACAATTTGAAACACATATATTTCTAACTTTTCAAACAGTTATAACATTGCCGTAAAATCTTCAAAATTCCGAATATCTGGTGTCACAGTAATACTAAGACTATATCGTTACATGGACCAGTGTAGAACATTTCCTGCTCCGATTTTAAATATCTGTTTGAATTTTACAAAAGATAAGATGCAAATACATGTGGTTCAAAATGAAGCAATATCCTTTGAAATACCGAAATCGAGAAAGCCTTCAAAATACACAACATCAAACGTACCCTTAATTTGAGGAGGTCTCCAAAGGTCCTGATTTCAAAATATTCCTGTACACAGTTCACAATAATAATCCTGAGTCACAAAATATAATTAATTTCTATGTCTAAAGCCTTGGAAATGGACAGGGTTTCACATTTTTATACCCTCCACCATAGTATGGAGGGTATACTAAGATTGTCATGCCGTTTGTAACCCCTCGAAATATACATTTTAGACCTCGATTTAGCAATGTCCGCCCGTCCGTCCGTTAATAAAATTGTGTCCGGCTGATACAATTTTACTCAAATGTGTATCATGTGTGCAGGACTTTTGGTATTGAAAATGGGCCATGTAGGTCCACGTCTTCGTACAGCCCCCATATAACGGCACCTCCCGATATTCGGTATTTTCATGATTTTAGCGATATCATTTGCCGCAATTGTTTCAAAATTGGTATTTAAAGTTCGTAATAGATACTACGGCTTAAGACAGAAAATGGGCCATATAAGTACACGTCTTCGTATGGTCCCCATATAACGGTACCTCCTGATATTGAGTATTTTCATGATTTTAGAGACATTATTTACCGGAATTATTTCAAATTTTGTATTTAAAGTTCGTAACAGATACTACAGCCTCTGCCAGATAATTGTCTGCGCAGGTCCACATTTTATAACACCCATGGTACCTCCCTATATTCGATATTTTGATGCTTTTAGCTTCATTATAAACAGATTTTTTATTCAAGTTTCACATTTGGATAGCTATTACAAGCTTGTGACAAAAGTTGCCTATGCAACTCCACGTCGTCGTATAGACCCTAATATACGGCTACTTTCGGTATTTTTAAGATTCTAACAGAATTTTTAAAGGATTTTATTTTCTTTTTGGAAAATTGACAAATTTGTACCAAATGGTGGAGGGTATTCAAAGTTCGGCCCGGCCGAATTTACAGCCTTTTTACCATTTTTTGCGGACTTGACATATTCATTGAGAAATCACATAGCAAGTCATAGCTAATTCCATTGAAAAAAGTGTTCAAACAATGAAAAATTACAAAATTTGAGCGACACGGCTTAATTGGTACTACTCCAAAAGTAAACCGATTTCGAATTTTTTGAAACTGGTGTGGAATACTCAATTACTTCAAAATTCGCTCGTCCTAAAACCATTTTTTTCACCGCTTATTTTAATATATTTAATGCATTTGAGAGTTCAAGTAGCCAACATCTGAAGTCAAAATATTGGAAGTTGTGGCTTCACGGGAATTTAAATTGGTCATAAGTTAGCTCATATTCTACAGCAGGTGCGGACTATATGATTTCTACTCCGATCCAATTACGTAGCAGGTATTGGAAGTAACCCAGCAAAATCTTGGATGAACCCTATGAGCCGAAGTTTATGTGAAGAAACGCTCTTCTGCACGACCAATTTATTAGAAATAAAGGGGTTTAAAAAAAAATATATATACTGGATGATATATAATACTTTTTACATTTTTTTTTTTAAATTTTGTTGAATGAAAGCAAAAAATGTCGCAAATAGCACCAAATTTTAGAATAAGATTAGATTTGTTCGAGTTGGCCACAATTGGCACGAATTATGGCCTTTAAACTGCCAATGAAACCGTCAAACGCTGCCCGAATGCTGCTCTGCGGTATTTTGGCCCATTTCCGGCGAAGCGCTTGCTTGAGGTGATCGACACTTTGATATTTTTTAGTGCCAACCGTGCTTTCCAAAATACTCCAGACACAATAGTCCAACGGATTGGTATCCGGAGATTTTGGTGGCCATTGTGCGCTGGAAATGAAGGGAGGAACCTCATTTTGTAACCATTCTTGGGTTTCGCGTGTTGAGTGCAATGGTGCTGAGCCCTGTTGGAATGTCCAAGGTCTGCGGCCAAAATGTTTGCGTGCCTTTAATACACCCTCCAGAATATTTTCGCTATAATATTCGGCATTTATTCTGATGCGACGGTCGATTAATACAAGACCGTGCGGAGAGCTACCATCGGCTGTTATGGCGGCCACACCATCACAATGGCCGGCGCTTGAGTTTGCTTACAAATAGCTGGGCAACGAATGTTTTCTCATCGGAGAAAACAAAATTCGGCAGTTCACCATTTTCGGCCAAGCGAAGCAACTTCTTAGCTCTTTTGAGACTATTTTCTTTCAGTTGCGGTGTAAGTTCTAGCACTTTTTCGGATTTTAATGACTTTACACCTCATTTTCAATATCTGTCGAATGGAATACTGCGATATATTCAACTCACGAGCCATTTTCGGCGAGCCATTGCGACCCGAGATCTGACGTCGGGCTACGGTATCACGGATCGCTGGTTCAGGATACAAAAGATTTATTCACATTTAAATGCTGGAGTGCTCAAACGATTGCCACTTGTGGTTTTCCAGTCAAATATAAAGAAATCACACTATCACGCTTGAATTCCATCACGAATAACTTTTTTCTGGAAAATTCTCACCAAAATGCTTTTGTACGCTTGTAAGCAATATATTGAGCCGTCATTGGAGGAATTTTAACTGCTGTCGGACGAGTGGTTTAGAAATGACAGCACTCTGAAGTTGATTGCAGTTTTTTCATCTCATCTTTTATTTATTCAAAATACTGATCCATTGTGGGGGAGGTATTAGAAGGAAAAGTTCGTTTCATCTGTTCCTCATACCTGATCTTGTGTTGGTAGCAATATTGGGATATGCGAAATTTGAAGACAATAGGACACTTATTTCACATTTTGTAAAAGTTATTATTATGCAAAATGTTAACCCGTTCTGGGGGGAGTATTAGAACGAGTGGGCCTATACATCCCATCTTATTCAAAATTTTGATCTTTGTGGTGGAGATTCCAGGAAATATGAGCCGTTATATCCCATTTTCACAACTTGTCTTGTTATGCTTAAAATATTGGGAACTTAACGAAAATCTGATGCATATTTCGCATTTTTTTGACCGTTTAGACATTTAAAATTTGGACCCTTTGTGAGGAAGGTATTCAAAGGAGTGGTACGATATATCTCAATGGTAGAAATATGGGTATGTGTGAAATTTGAAGAGAATCTGCATTATATTTCGCATTTTATGAGCGTTTAAGATATTCGAAATTTGGACCCTTTGTGGGAGAGGTATTAGAAGGAGTAGTCCGATCTTGTTCATTCTCGCACCCAATCTTGCGGTAATGCAAATATCACGATTTGCAAAGTTTGCTCAAAATTAGATCATCCGTTTATGAAAATTTTGGCCTTTTGTGGAGGAAGGGCCAGAAGGGGTGCACCGATATTGTCCATCTCCGAACTCGATCTATGTTTGACAAAAATATTACGATGTACCGAGTTTGGACCAAATCGGGTGCTCCATTCGGAAGTTATCGCGCGCACATCTCTTAACCGACTCCAAAGGTCTAAAACCGATATTTCGACTAGGCATGTTTTGGCCGTATCAAATGATATATACCCTCTCTAGCCATATGCCTTTTTTAAGTAAACTAAGGCAAGAATAGGGCATTCTTTTTTTAAATTATTTCTCTGTTTAAAAATTATTTTATAGGATAACATTTTCAACTGAGTTCTCAAAAAAAAAAATTACCGAAACCGTATTTTGGACTTTTTGGCTATAAATCGTGGATTTTTGTGAAAATATTAAACAATTGTTACTAAGTAAAATAGTTGATTTTTAAACCAAACTTTATTAAAAATACCCTCTCACTAATTTGTTAAAATTTGTTAAAATTTGCAAAAGTTTGTACATAAATTTGAAAATTTTATTTTTAATATTTTGTCTTAAATGCTAAATAACGAACATCCCTTGGAAATGGTGTAACTAAATCGCTTAACAGCGAAAAACACAAATTCGTTCTTTTTATGCATTTTCTCACTGTCATCGACAAGATTGACGCGCAGAACAAGACAATACTACAAGAAAACCAACAAGAACGAAGAAACAGATTTTTTTTGTATTTTTCTCAAGAAAATCGCGGTGTGTTGTTTGATTTATTTTTAAACTCAAATCTGTTTTCCATGTGCTAAGCAGTTTCATCGCTTCGCGAAATCAACAATTTTCTGCGTGAATTGCGACAATGATGCTGGCACATCCTCTTATTTGCGCGTCTTTCTCTCTTTCTCTTTCGGTGTGTCTGCCCGCTTTTTCCTTTGCTAGCTGGCTGGCTGGCTCCTTGCCTGTCAATGTATTTTTTTCTTTTCGCCGCCATTTAATTTCGCTTCAGCTAAAGTGCACAATTAAGAAGTGATTGTGTCAATGGGCGTTTATTCAATTTTTTTCTTTTATTTTAATTTTTTTGTTTTATCTGAAATAATACCGAATGTAATCACATAGCAGCTATCACAAAGTGAAACGAAGAAGTACAAGGAACAGAGAATTGAAAAAAACAAAAAAAAAAAAAACACAAATAAAACAAAAAAACATTTCAAAATTGTCTACCTTGCCAATGTGTGCGTGTGTGTGTTGGTGTCGCATTCAATTTGAGTGACATATTGCGTACTTTTTCAAAATAAAAGTCTTTATTTAACTGTGCATTTTGTTTTCGTAAGACATTCATTGATCAAGGAATTATTTGTGAATTCTTCAATTAAATATTTTATTTACTTTTAAACGGCAATCGTTACCAGCTGAAACAGCAACATTTCCCCGCCCGTGGCATTTAAACCAACATCTCATTCCGGTTTTAATTTGACATAAATATTCTGTTTTGCTGTTGAACATCAAAAAGATGATTTGTTAAAAAAAATCGTAAGTAATTTTTTGCATTATTTATTCATTCAATAACAAAGAATTACATTTGTTTATTTTGTCAATTTGCTAAAAGGTCGTCATGTGTGTGTGTGTTTTTTTTAACAGAAGTTAGTCATGCGTTACGGTTTTTTTCAATATTAAACATATTGAGAGTCGTAAATTAACAAAATATTATTGAAATTGAATATAAATATTATTGTAGTTACAAGAGGTTATGAAAATATTTTGGGTTCGAAAATGTGTAAGGTCTTTGTTTAAAAAAACTTTCCTCCCAAGACTTAGGTAGTAAAGGTCGTCCAGGAGGTAACACAGACCCTAGTCTTCTATTGCTGTCAATAGAAAAAATTATTGTTTTTTTTTATGCATCCGAATTGACATGTTGTCTATATTTCTGAGAAAGCACCCTCTACTTCCAGCGGATTTCTACAATTAATCATGTTTATTTATAATAATAATAATAATAATAATAATAATAATAATAATAATAATAATAATAATAATAATAATAATAATAATAATAATAATAATAATAATAATAATAATAATAATAATAATAATAATAATAATAATAATAATAATAATAATAATAATAATAATAATAATTAATAAAAATAATTAATAATAATAAAAATAATAATAATAATAATAATAATTAATAAAAAATAATTAATAAAAATAATTAATAAAAATTATTAATAATAATAATAATAATAATAAAAATAATAATAATAATAATAATAATAATAATAATAATAATAATAATAATAATAATAATAATAATAGTAATAATAATAATAATAATAATAATAATAATAATTAATAAAAAGTAATTAATAATAATAATAATAAAAATAATAATAATAATAATAATAATAATAATAATAATAATAATAATAACAATAATAATAATAATAATAATAATAATAATAATAATAATAATAATAATAATAATATAATAATAATAATAATAATAATAATAATAATAATAATAACAATAATAATAATAATAATAATAATAATAATAATAATAATAATAATAATAATAATAATAATAATAATAATAATAATAATAATAATAATAATAATAATAATACTAATAATAATAATAATAATAATAATAATAATAATAATAATAATAATAATAATAATAATAATAATAATAATAATAATAATAATAATAATAATAATAATAATAATAATATATAATATAATTAATATAATTATAATAAATAATATAATTAATAATTAATAATATAATTAATAATAAAATAAATAATTATTATTATTATTATTATTATTATTATTATTATTATTATTATTATTATTATTATTATTATTATTATTATTATTATATTATTATTATTATTATTATTATTATTATGTCTGCTGGACTTTTGGTATTAAAAATGAGTCATATAGGTCCACGTTTTGGTATAGCCCTCATATAACGGTACCTCCCGATATTCGGTATTTTGATGATTTTTGCGACAATATTCATCGGAATTGTTTCAAATTTGGTATTTGAAGTTCGAAATAAATGCTACAGCCTACGACAGAAAATTGTCTGTGCATGTCCACGCCTTCGTATAGCCCCTATATAATAGTATCTCCTTATTTTCAATATTTTGTTGATTTAAGCGGCATTATTCACCGGAATTGTTTCAATTTTGGTATTTGAAATTCGTAATGGATATTACATCCTAAGACAGAAAATGAGCCATGTAGGTCCACGCCTTCGTATAGCCCCCATATAACGGTACCTCCCGATATTTAGTATATTGATGATTTTAGCGACATTATTCACCGGAATTGTTTCAAATTCGGTATTTGAAGTTCGTAATGGATATTACAGCCTATGACAGAAATTTGTCTGTGCAAGTCCACGTTTTAGTATAACCCACGTATAAGGGTTATATTCAGTATTTTGATGATTGTAGGTACATTATTCACCGATTTTATTCAAGTTTTGCTTTTGAATATTGGTTGACGACAAAAGTTGCCTATGCAGGTCCACGCCTTCGTATAGCTCCCACGGTACCTCCTGATATTCTGGTACCTCCCACACAAAAGGTCAAAATTTAAAAAAAAATATTTTCTGCACAGAAAGGGAAACGATAATCCGATTTTTCTCTAACTTTGAAAATCGTAATATTTGCGTCAATGGCAGGTCAGGTACGAAAATGGATAATATCGCTCCACTCCATCAAGCACCACCCACACAAAGGGTTAAATTTTTGAATAATTACAACTCTTATAAAATGTGATGTAAGAGTCCGATTGTCTTCAAATTTGACACATATCAATATTTTTATAAACTCAAGATCTGGTGTAAAGATGGGATATATCGGTCCACTCCTTCTGTTACCTCCCCCACAAAAGGTCGAAATTTTGAACGTACATTAAGCTCATAAAACGCGAAATTGCCATCGGATTTATTACTTGGCACATCTCAATATTTCTATCAGCCTGCTGCCTCCCCCATTTATAAAATTTATAAAATCCGAAGTAAGCTTCAGATTCTCTTTATATTTCACACATCCCATTATTTCAACTAACAAATGATCCGTTGTGAAGATGGGACATATCGGTAAACTCCTTCTGGAAACTCCCCCACGAAGGCTCAAAATTTTGAATGCCCATGAAGTTCATAAAAAGCGAAATTGACATCCGATTCTATTCAAGACTTGGTACATCCCAAAATTTCGATTAACACAACACAGTCCAAACCTAGCACGGCCGAATGCTCCACAAGATAGGTGTTCAATCATACACATATGGTCCCCGACGGCATAATCGTACAATCATCTTCAAACGTAATAATTTCTATGCCTTCTGGAGGCCGATGAATTCGGAAAACTACCTCTACGGGGTTTGGACTCCTGGTTCCGAAATTCTACATATCAGTGGCTTCTAAATATACATTTGATTGTCCGACTTTTTAAACTTGTCCGGAGGGTAGTTCTCTCTACATATCCAAATAGTGTGGTGTAATGGACTGTATCAAATACATTTGATAGGTTTGAAAGGCTACCAATACTGACACAGCTTGTTCTGCGTCGATATGGAGTGCATTGCTGTTGTGGTGCTTATGGACGGAATCCGTGTTGATGGTTGGCAACCGCATAGATTTCTCTGATGCTTGGGGAGGAGTAAAGCCTCAAAATCTTTGCTACTGGCGACAAGAGCGAAATTGGCCAATACAATTCGCCTTGCCTGGTTTCAGTAGGGGGACCTGTTGACCCATTTTCCAGGCTTCGTGAAGGGTGTGGTGTACTAGCGGCAGATTGAGAATTTTTGTCAGGTAACTCCCTGCGTATTCAGTTGCTTCAGTATCACCATCAGGGCCCAACGTACGTCGTAAACTGTGGTGATGCCTCCCTGGCGGGTGGAAATCTGATACGACGCAGTACTCTTCACTTCACTTTGCTCTATCGCTCTGGGGGTGCTCGAAAAATTGTTGGCTAAAATATTTAGCAATCCTTTTCAGATCACTCACCGTTAAGTCGTTAAAAGTAACTTTTTTTTACCAGGGTTCGAAAACTATTTAACCATTATCCACAGCTTACTCAAATTGGTTCCAATGTAGCAACACTTGAGAGGGTCTACTCACTTTTTATACCCTGGTAAGGCTATTTTGTCTTTGTGCATTTCTTTGTAACATGGAGATGGAACCGAGAGTTCCATAGTTACCTTTAAGGATCTTCATAGAATCAATTTCTGAGACTGTCCGTCCATCCGTCTGTGCACCAAATGGCCAATATCAACCCAAATGGACTGAATTCTGGCACTTCCGACCAAATTAAGTCTAGAAACAAGTATTTCGTATTTGGTGAAAATCGGTTCAGATATACCTATAGTTCCCATATATATATGTTTCATCCGATTTGGTGTTTAAGTCCATCACATGCGTAATATACACTCCACAAGAATAATGTTTGGTGTCAGATATCAGATACAGACCAAAAATAGCTTTGTCAAATTTTATCGAAATCGGTTCAGATTTGAATATATATAATAGCTCCCATATATATTTTATCCGATATCAGGTTTATTGTGCACCAAATGACTAATATCAACCCAAATAGACTGAATTTGGGCACTTCCGACGGAATTCAGCCCAGAGGCGAGTATTTCAAATGTGGTGCAAATCGGTTCTGATATATATATACCTCATCCGATTTGGTGTTAAGTCCCTCACATTCGTAATATGCACCCCACAAGAATGATATTTGATAGCAGATATCTTACAGAGCTCGGAAATACCTTTGCAAATTTTATCGAAATCGGCTAGGATTTGGATATAGCTCCCATATATATCCTTAATTCGATTTCAGATTTATTGTGCAAATAATGGCTAATATCAAATAGAGTGAATTTCGGAATGTACATTTCCATTTGGTGGAACTCGGTTCCGATATATATTTTTTAATATAATCCTTCTCGAAGTGATATCATGCACTCTATGGCAATGTTTGTTGGTAAAAAAAAAGATAAAAATATATCCGTCAAATTTAGCGAAAATAGAATCAGAAATGGATATACCTCCCATGTATTATTATTCCTTGCTGCTCTAAAACCAAATATTGATAGACGGTATGATCTACTTCCAATAAGTTCTTTTGTTAC